CATATCCAAAGTATAAGTATCGTTCACTGAGCAGAAGTCAAAAGCTATATTTAATATTGCTAAAAGCGCTAAACTCCAACCACAAAATCCTAGATGCAACAATCTCCTTAAAGAATGAAACTTCCATTATTATAAAAAGAAACTATACCACAAGGAGCGGAGCTATATCCCTTCTCGTAATCAAAGCCACCGCCAGATCCGTCTTCGACACGAGCGCGCTTCGGCTCAGCGCCAACAGAGGCAACGGAGGCAGTAAGGCGAGCGGCAATTTCCTGAGCTCGCTGCTTGGCCATCTCGATGCCGTCGAGCGGTGGCGGAACGCTGTTGTAGGAAGGAGGAGCCGAATTAGGGGAGGAGAAGCCTGTAGGCCTCCTACCGACGGAAGAAGGTGGTAATTCATCGTCGTATTTACGCTTGTTGCTGCCGGCATCGAGACCTGAAGAGTACTGTGCTTCGTCCGCCATTTTCTGTTCTGCGAGAGAGAAACCCTAGAGAAAGGAAAGGGAGAATATTTGTTTAGTAAAACATTATTATTTTATGTTTTTATATATGTCCTTGATTGATTGGCTGTGAGCTGGATTTTTCCTTTTAGGTTTGTGTTTTTCCGATTAATAAGGTAAAATGTATTTTTTAAAATAAAGGCTTAATATAAAAATAAAATTTTAAATTACGTTTAAAATTTATTTTTGATGTCTAATTTTTTTTTATTAAAAATATGTCTCTAATGTTTTTCCGTTATATTTTTAAGTGTCTACCGTTAAAATACTCTGTCACGTTTAGATTTTTCTAAAAAAAATTAAATAATATATTCAAAAAACATATAAACGTGACACGTATCACTTAAGTTTTTCTAAACGATAAACACTTAAAAGTATAACAGAGAAAACGTTGAACACCTATATTTAAAGAAAATTTCTTTAGGCATCAAAAATTAACTTTAAATATAGTTTAAATATTTTTTTTTACACTAAACCTTAAATAAAATACTTTAATGTAATTTAATTTATGACCACTTAATTATGAGATAATTTTAGTTTGATTATTGATCTTTTAATTTTATTAATAAAATTACTTAATCATTTAAAAAATAAAATATACATATGATCCCCTTCTTAGAAGTGTTACTTCGTTTGACTTTCGATTATTAAAAGTTATAAGTTAGTCCATTAACTATATAACAATATTTTATTGAGTCTCCGACTATTAAAAGTTACAAAATTGTGATTCAACCTTTTATATATTCTAAATTCGTCTTTTTTGTTAAAAGATTAACAATCATCTAAACTTGGCATTAACTTATTAATTAAAATATGATAAAAATCATATTTGACACTGTAATTATTTTCAAGTACTAGCACAATGATATAATATAAAAAAATTCGATCAACAAAATATAGTTCAAACGCAATATCCATAACCTAAAAAAAAAAAATTGTGTCAACCGAAAACTTTTAATTATCTAATCTTGAGATAATTGAATCTTATTTATTAATATTTGAAAATTTTCAGTATTTGTTGAATGATTGATGTAGAACATAACCCCCGACCAACTTTCGCGGTTTAGCGAGGGGTTTTAGTGCACTCGAAGCAGAGGAAAAGAGATTAGAGCGGGGGATGAAACTGGCGACTTTAATTAGTCACATTAATTTCAAGTTTCGGTTGCTTCCACATGCAATAATTTTTCTAAATTGTTTGTTTGTTTTTGCAGAAATAGTTTTGGTAAAATTTTCGCGGAAATAGATAGAATTGGCGTTGCAACGCTCAATCAATCTCCAGTATTGGATTTCTCTTGTAAAACAGAGTAAAATGAAGCCCCTTTGTTCAAACTTGCTTAAGATGCCTTCCCGGGTATGTATGTTCAGACTTTCCTCTATGTTTTTTTTAATAGAAGTGCAAATTCAACTTTCAAGTTACTGTTTGTTAGCTAATGCAGAATCCAATTTCCATAAGAAATGGGGTAAGAGCATATGGGATGGTGGAAAAATTTGGGAAAAGATTTATGGGACCAGAGCTAAGTGACGATGATGATGACTAGTCATCAGTGAAAAAGGGTCAGGTTGATGATTCCTATCACTTTGATCCTGACGAGCGACGCGAATGGAGAGCCAATATTAGGAAGGTTATAAATAAGCACCCCCGAAATTCAGGAGGAGATTGACCCTGTTGATAAGTTGAACAAGATGCAAAAGCTCCTGGCCGATTATCCATTGGTTGTCGATGAGGATTGATCCGGATTGGCCAGAAGATGCCGATGGCTGGGGTTTCAACCTGGGTCAATTCTTTGATAAGATCACTATCAAGAATAACAAGAAGGAAAACGATGATGATGGTTGATAGTGAGAAGGAAATAGTGTGGCAAGATGATGACTATATTGTCCGATTAAAGATATTAAGACTGCTCAATGGGAAGATACTGTGTTCAAGGACATTAGTCTGTTAATCATTCTCTTACATAACCGCTACAAAAGGTTAATTTTTCCTTTTCAGCAGTTAATATACTAGCATAATTACTATTGCAGTATGTTATCATCTCCTTTAAAGATATGTATAATCCGCAGGCCAAAATAAAATGAAAGAGTTCGGGATGAGCTGACGAAAGCTGTGCATATCATATGGAAACGCAGGCTTCCTTCACCGAGAGTATGATATCTATACTGCTGTTTTTGACATGGATGCATTTCTTCCAATCATTGGTCCTAATTTGTATTTCCTCGTATCAGTGTGTGGCAGTTGATGCTGTAGTAGAGGATGATCTGGTCTCTGCTCTAAACGTGTAGTGCTTTCCCCAAATAATATTCACTAAAGCTGGGAAAATTTTATACCGTGAGCGAGGTACTTGCTTAACTTAGCAGTAACAAATAACAATCTTGGTCTTGGTTTCTTGCCTCTGTTTCCTTATTGACCATATGAACTTGTAATCTGCTGTTTGTTCAGCTATTCGAACGGCTGATGAGTTGTCAAAAATGATGGCTTTCTTTTATTATGATGCTGCTAAGCCATCTTGGTTAGATTGCAGCGGGAACGGACAGGAGAGGATCCCAACAGTTGTCATCGAGAGACAAAACAACCTTTATAGCTAGCTACCTGCAGTTGTCTTAAACTTTGTTATGAGATTTTCGTCGTCCATGCGACCGAGATTATGTAGTAAATGGTTGTTATTGTAGTAATGTAAATGATAAAATAGGTTGAGCCGTGTTATTCTAACCTTCTTTGTTCCAAATTCAATGTAGCTTGAATTCAATTCACTTTGAAGTTCTAAAACTCGTCCATTTAAATCACCTCATTGCAGCTCTAGTAAAATTATTTTTGATCCCCAAGATAATGTTATTATGCTGGGTGTATGTATTCAACTCAACGTTTCCTTTTGGGTGAATGATAGATCTCCATAAAGAGCATGTCTTAGACTTGTTAATTTGTTATAAAAATAAGAGTCGTGTTTTCATCGATCTTGTTCCGACCGAGTATGAAACGATTTTTTCAGGAACCGTCAAGTTGGAATCAACCGTCAGCATCAAGCTCAAACTTGTTAATTTGTTATAAATATTGAAGTTCTATATTACAGAGAAATGTAGTTTCAGACCAATTTTAACTTTCATTAGATCGACAAACCTCAACAACCGGGGTAGAAAATCCAGCTTGCATCTCAAATGAGCACAAGTTTTAAAAATAAGACTTGATAAAATTCAGCCGAATTCGGAGCCTCGAATTTCTTCATGTAATCTTTAAATCTTACAACAGTAGCTTTAACCTGGCAATGGAAACCCAACACCAGCCCTTAGAAGGTCACTGGAGCCATTGATAGAACCTATAGTGAACTTCAGGGTCATAATATCGTTCCATTCTCTCTAATGGCAAGTTGATTGCTATAAATCCTTTTTTTATCCTTCTATTTTCGACATTACTAAAAATGTTCACTTTCGCCAGTGGTTTTTTCGCTTGGGATTTAGCATGTAAAAATATTTCAGTTGATTATTTATTTTCTGTTCAAGGGTTCCATTGTGAATACAAGCAGTTGGTGATCGACTTCACAACTGTCCCCAGGGACTATTAAATACTTCAATGGAAAAAAGTCGGATATGAAGCAGCAGCCCCCAATAATTCTTTATTCACTATCATATTCCCTGCAACTAGTCTACCTTTAGCATCTTTCTTCATAAAAGTGAGGTTTCATTATCATGTGGCTATAAGCAATTGAATGAAGGTCCGGAAATAAACATCCAGAACTAATGATTGGGTTGACTTGAACAGTCCTAGGTTAAATCTTGTATTAGGCATGTGGTTGAGGGGTGGCCTTGAGAATCATAATCTTGTATGTGGCTTTTGTTGAAAGTAAAACATTGCTGACCTCTAATGTGAACCAAGAAATATGATTAGCTGTTGAGAGTTGCCCGCTTTCATTAATGTCTCTTATCCACCTCTAAAGATAAATGGAGAAACTAGAGAGTTGTCATCTTCAACAACGCTTTTTTCCTATGGCCGCCATTATCAATCTTCATGACATGCAACCATATATGATCTATATTGAACTTCAGGTTAAGTGATTACACCTTTGTTCGTTCTTCTTATTTTACCCGTTCGTTATGTGCTTCACCTTTCTTGCTATAAATGCTATCGGCTTTCTCATACTGACACCCACTTCATTTAAACCTATCATTTAACGTGTGAAACAGGTAATCAGTTTCCGGCTTAAATTTAAACCCCAATAAACAAGGTGCTTACCTGCAGGCTGCGTGCTTGAAATGTCAAAAGTGTATAGTAAAGTATGTTGGCTATAAATGTAATACATATTCTTCATTCTTAATCATATTCCCAGCAACTAGTTTCCCTTTATAGTTTGAGTGTAACCAATACATCCCCTTTCAATTTTAAGCCATGATACCTTTTACCAACAACTTAACATCTTTATCATTCAGGGTCTTCTTCTTTAGCCTGCTGCTGCTGCTGCTTTCTTCTTGCCATGTCTTTGCTTCTGTTTCTGCCATTTCTGGAGATGAATCATCAGCAGGACAGAAGGAAGGTGATGCTCTTCTAAAATGGAAGACCAGTCTTGATGATCAAAGTCAATCTTTCCTCTCTTCTTGGAATGGAAATGGCCCTTGTGACTGGATCGGGATCATTTGTGACAAGTCTACAAGTGTCAGCCATTTGAACCTTTCAAGTTCTGGTTTGAAAGGTACACTCCATGGTTTTAACTTCTCTTCTTTGCACAAACTTACTGTTCTTGATCTAAGCTCCAATCATCTTAGTGGAAACATTCCATCAGATGTTGGTAAGCTATCGAGATTAACATACCTCGACTTGTCTTCCAATCATCTTTCTGGCGAAGTTCCCGTTTCTATTGGAAACTTGACAAACCTTCACTTTCTCTACTTATGCATAAACAAGCTCTCTCGTTCTATACCTCAACAAATTGGAATGTTGAAGTCCTTAAATGAACTTGACCTCTCTGAAAATGATTTCATCGGTTGTCTTCCTGCCTCTATTGGAAACTTAGCCTACTTATCTTATCTTGACCTTTCTAGCAATAAAATTTCGGGGTCGATACCGAAAGAAATCGAAAACTTAGCCAACTTATCTTATCTTAGCCTTTTTAACAATAACATTTCAGGGTCCATACCGGAAGAAATTGGAATGTTAGGTTCACTCCAAGAGCTTTATTTGCACAATAATAGTCTTATTGGTGAAATTCCTACTTCTATAGTAAACTTGACAGACCTGCTCTTTCTTCACTTATTCAAAAACAAACTCTCCGGTTCTATACCTCAGCAAATTGGAATGCTGAAGTCTCTGAATGAACTTCACCTTGCTGAAAATAATCTGGTCGGTTCTCTACCTCGATCAATTGGAATGTTACGTTCCCTTGTTAAATTAAAGCTGTGTGGCAACAGTCTTACTGGTTTCATTCCTGCAGAGATGAACAATCTTACAAATTTGAAATTATTTGAAATCAGTCAAAACTACTTGACTGGCCATTTACCACAACAGGTGTGCCATGGTGGAGTACTTGAAAATTTTACTGCAGATAACAACTATTTCACAGGTCCACTCCCTAAGAGCTTGAAGAACTGTACCAGCTTGTACAGACTTCGGCTTGAACACAACCAACTCACAGGAAATATATCTGAAGATTTAGGTATATTATACCTGAACTTGAATTATCTTGATCTGAGTGGTAATAAATTGATTGGGGAGCTATCATCAGAATGGGGTCAATGTCACAATCTAACAAGTCTAAGGCTCTCGAACAATAATATATCCGGTGAGATACCTTCAGAACTTGGAAAGGCGACTCAGCTACGAGTATGCGATCTTTCTTCGAATCATCTAACCGGGGACATTCCAAAGGAACTGGGACAGCTGACATTCTTGTTCAACCTCACGCTGAATGATAATCATCTGTCGGGCAGTATTCCTCCGGAACTCGAAATGTTGTCTGCACTTGCCGGTCTTAACTTGGCTGCAAACAACTTAAATGGCTCCATTCCACGATGGTTGAGAAAGTTCAAGACACTCTTGGAAATAAATCTGAGTGCCAATGGATTCAGTGGAAGAATTCCTTATGAGGTTGGTAGCTTTTCTTTTCTTGAAGTTCTTGATCTCAGTAACAATTTGTTGATCGGTAAAATACCGGAGCAAGTTGGGAACTTGAAATCTTTAGAAAAGCTGAACCTCTCTCACAATAAGCTCTTCGGTCGCATTCCCTCAACTTTTGATGGTATGTTAAGCTTAACATCTGTTGATATATCCTACAATCAGTTGGAGGGTCCTCTTCCACACATCAAGGCCTTTCGAGAGGCTTCATTCGAGGCCTTAGTAAACAACAAAGGCTTTTGCGGAAATATCACAGGTTTGGAATCATGTTCATCAAATTTAAACCATAATGTTGATCAGAAGAACAAAAGTATAATTGTGAGTGCAACTTTAGTCCCTATTTCTTTCACACTTCTACTTGTATCCATTGTCTATGGGATTCTTTATTTTTCACAACGAAGAGAGAAGCATACCGAGAACTCGCCACAGGTTGTAGTAAGTGATAATCTGTTTGCAGTTTGCAACTATGATGGGAAAATGATGTATGAAAACATTGTTGAAGCAACCGAAGAATTCGACTCCAAATACTGCATTGGGGTGGGGGGATATGGAAGCGTTTACAAGGCACAATTGTCTAATGGTCAAATGGTTGCTGTGAAAAGGCTTCACCAACTTTCAGAAGATGGGCTGGCAGATCGAAAAGCATTTAACAGCGAGATTCAGGCCTTGACCGAAATACGCCATCGGAATATTCTAAAGCTTCATGGTTTCTGTTCCCATCCCCGACACTCGCTTTTGGTATACGAGTTCTTGGAAGGGGGAAGCCTGGAGAAGATACTAAAGAGTGATGAGAAAGCTACGGAATTTGATTGGAAGAAGAGGGTAAATGTTGTTAAAGGCTTGGCAAATGCAGTGTCGTATATGCACCATGACTGCTCCCCTCCCATAGTCCATCGGGACATTTCAAGCAACAATATTCTGCTCGATTCAGATTATGTGGCTCACGTTGCAGACTTCGGCGCTGCTAGGATTCTAAAGCCTGACTCATCCAATTGGACCCCATTTGAAGGCACTTTTGGTTACTCGGCTCCAGGTATTTTTTTTCATTCTTTCCATTTTTTTAATACTATAATTGTTTTGAATTTGGATGAAGTAAATTGTTGAACACAATATGAAGTCATAAACGTGTACTTGAGCATGCCTATTCTTTTGTAGAGCTTGCTTATACCATGCAAGTCAATGAAAAATGCGATGTGTTTAGCTTTGGAGCGGTGACACTGGAAACACTTATGGGAAGGCATCCAGGAGATCTTATATCTTTCATTTCATCATCGTTCTCTTCACTCTCTCCATCATGCTCATCGTCATCAGCCTTGGGTCATGTATTACTGAAAGATCTGTTAGACCAGCGACTTCCATCTCCGAGGAGACAAACAGCAGCAGAACTGGTCTCCATTGTAAAAGTAGCATCACATTGCTTACATGCCAGTCCGCAATCTAGACCGAGTATGCAGCAAGTTTCTCAGGAGCTGTCTGATCGGAATCCACCTTCACTGGTGCTGTTTCACACAATAACATTAAGCCAATTGCTTGATTCCAGCAGTTATACATCTTAAAGGCTACACATGGAGTTACTCCCTTTTTATCTTGATGCCTATTCTGATTCTGCATTTCCTTTATTTCCATGTTCTAATCACTTGTTCCATTTAGCTTGTATAATTTCAAGCTCATTTTTTGGGCCTGCTGTGTACAGAATGCTTTCCAAAGTTTAAAGGGCAAGTCTCAGCTGGTTTTGTGTGAATCACCGAATGCATCGATCAAAAATTAGAAAGAGACAAACTCATTTGTGTGATTGCGACTCGAAGTTTATTTGATACAAATAAAGTAAATAGAAACGGCAACCACAATGTTTAATACAAAAGGATCACGAAGATGACAATTCGTGACTTAGTTTAAAAACTAAATCCCTTACTTTTCCAATTTAAAAATCCCAATTCAATTTAGGTACAGTTGTTCTAGTGGACATTGCATTCAAAATCAGTAAATCAATGGGTGTAGAGTAAAATGGAAATTTTAATGTTCAAACTGCTGCACAGTTGTTCAGTCTTGTTTTACCTATTTGTTCAAACTGCAGGTAAATCTATCATATAAAGTGTGAAACAGGTGAGCAGTAATCTGTTTATTTTGCATGGAATGCATATGCTCTGTGATTGGTGGAGGAAATATAAAGACCATAAAACCTTGCTTGCTGCTTCATCATGACCGGATTCCCATTATCACTTCCCAATTTCTAAACCAAGTGTAACATAGAATATTCAGGGTCATAATTTCGTTCCAGTTGTCTTTAATGGTTGCACAGGATGGTGAAACACATGCTCTGACCTGGTAGCCTCGAATTCAACAATGTATCGGTGATTTGGACTAATAAGCAAGTCGAATCTTGGTGATTGAGGACTGGTCTCAGGTATTTTATATGTCTCGTGTTGAATTACTTTCTCCTCAGGTTTCTGATCATTGCATAGGTGCTTCGGAGTCGAATATGGAACGTGCTTCATCTTTTAATCCTTTTCGACTATTAAATTTTTGGACTAAACATTCAGATTTTCTGAGATCAGTTGAAAACTCGGGGAAGAAGCCAGTTGAGGGAAGCCCTATACTTTGGTTATTTCAGAAAATGAAAAGGCTGAAGGTGATCTTGAAGAAGTTAAATAAAGAATTGCCATGGCGATATTTCATTCAAAGTCAAAGATGCTTTGAAGGAATTATAGGGTTTACAGAGAATTGTTTGATGTTGAAGAGATAACACCAGAGTTCTGAATAATGGAGGAGGGGAAAGGCTCGAGTCTAGGGAGGATTTGATTGCTGAAATTGTAGGTTATTACAAGAAGCTGCTGAGAACAGAAGATCATAATGCTTTGGTGTCACCAGTTCAGCTGTTAAGAAAACTTTTATTTGTCAGCTTGATAGTGGAGGAGCAAAACCAGCTGATTAAACCCATTTTTTCAAGGTAGTCTGGGTTTAATTCTACTGCTGTGATTTTGGTTCCCAAGAAAAATAAATAAATCCAGTGAGCATGATGGACTATAGGCCAATTTCTCGTTTAATTCATTGTTTCCAATGTTTGGTTATGACTGGATTGTTTGTAAACTTTAGGAGTGTGTCAAGGGGCGGTCTTGGGTATTAAAAACCTTTCTTCCAAGTGATATAAAAGCATTGGTGACATTAAGGTTTTCAATTGTGACTATAAACAGATGGATGCAGGTCCGGAAACGAATACCAAAGGTTAGTCAACACCCTTGTTCACGAAATGCTCCACATGATGGAATATAATCTTTACAGAAATCCAGATTGGTGATCGACTTCGACTGTGTCAAGGGCTAAGACAATTATTGAATGGAAAAAGCAGGATATGGAGTGTGTCCAGGAGCAGTCACCCCCATAAATTTCTACCCCAATGAACACGGTGCGACCTGGTTGGCAGCATGCTTGAAATGTCAAAAGAGTATGGAAAAGTAGGTTGGCTATAAATGTAATACTTGTTCACCATTCTTAATCATATTCCCAGCAACTAGTTTCCCTTTATAGTTTGAGTGTAACCAATACTTCCCCTTTCAATTTTAAGCCATGATACCTTTTACCGACAAGTTAAGATCTTCATCATTCGAGGTCTTCTTTACCCTGCTGCTGCTTTCCTCTTGCCGTGTCTTTGCTTCAGTTTCTGCCATTTCTGGAGATGTATCACCAGTGGGACAGAGGGAAGCCGATGCTCTTCTAAAATGGAAGGCAAGTCTTGATGATCAAATCCAATTTTTCCTCTCTTCTTGGGACGGAAATGGCCCCTGTAACTGGACCGGGATCATTTGTGACAAGTCTACAAGTGTCAGCCATTAAAACCTTTCAAGTTCCTATTTGAAAGGTACGCATAATGGTTTTAACTTCTCTACTTTTCACAAACTCAGTGTTGTTGATCTAAGCTACAATCATCTCAGAGTTTTCGGTTGGATGCTAAGATTTTCAATTGTGGCTTTACACAGTTGGACGTTGATCCGAAACTAATATCAAAGGCTAGTCAGTCCACGAAAACAAAACGATGACATCTCAATATTTCGTCAAATAAATCCAAAACTAACAATTGTTGGGTGTTAGAGTTTGATCAGAACTCGATTGGACTCAATTAATGAAGATTCAAATTAAGAAGAAATTGAAGAAAGTCGGAAATCTGATTTGATTGAAAGTAAGAAACATATGTTGATTAATAGTAGGAAACTCTATTCGACTAGATTTGCAAGTTTTAGTCCACAGTAGGAAACATATGTTGATTAATAGTATGATCCGAACTCGATTGGACTCAAGTTTTAGTCGGATTCTTCGAACCAACGCTGGTTCGTTATCGTGGTATTGGTTCATGAGCAGGTGGATAGCTTCAGCACAGTCCATCTCCGCTACGATACGTCTCACTCCATAGTTCCAAGCTAGTTGAAGACCGTCAAGAAGAGCCCAGAGCTCAGCATGGAGGACTGAACAATGCCCGATGTTGCGAATATAGCCGGCAACCCAATCGCCTTTATGGTTGCTTCTTGGCCACCACCAGCAGCTTCTTTTGAAAACGGCTCCGTCCGAGTTAAGCTTGAACACAACATCCTCGGGAGGTTGACATGTCTTCGAGTTCTTGTAGCAATCTCCCGTGCCCAAGCTTGAGGAGCTTAAATTATAGTACATTGATTAATAATGTGATACATGAATTAATAGTAAAATTAATACAAAATTCATATAGTATTGTCAATAACTTTCCCTTTTTATCTAAACTTTTTTATTAATCTAAATGTGATTATAAAGTAATTTATGTTCGAAATACTCTCAACTTATTTAATAATAAACGCTCAAATACCTTTGACATACGATATATTCAAATCTTGAACCTCTATAGATAATAATCATCCCTTTAACAATTGAGGTAACTTAATTCGAGTTTTGCACTAACCTTAAATCCTTAATCATCAAGATGTAAGAATATTTTCATTCAAAAAAAAAAAGAATATTCTTTCATTAAAAAAAAGAATATTCTTTCAGATATATGGTTAATTATCTTCAATTAGTTAGTATAATGACCCTACCGATAATCTAAGTTAAAAATAGTTAATTGCATAAAATGACTATAATTATGCCTTTAGTATCTAAACTATTACTTTTAATCCGTTTTAGTACTTAAACTTATAATTTTTTAAAATCATACTTAATGTTTAGTTTTTGCTTTATTTTAGTACTTATCGTTAAAATATTATCGCGTTTAGTACCTAAACTCAGTTTTGGCCTGTTTTAGTACCTAAACTTTTCATTTTTCTAAAATTTAACATTAAATTTTTAACGACAGAGTAATGAAATGAAACAAAAACTAAACTTTAGTTATAGTTTTGAAAAAATTGAAAATTTAATTACTAAAACTGTCCAAAACCAATAATTTAAATACTAAACACATAATTTATCTCATTTTGATTTAGTGGCGGAGGCGCAATCCTCCCATCTACCATTTGATTAATCTTTGAGAGAGTCTAAGGAGAGACAATCTAATTTAAGACAAATGAAAGACGACCGAAAATAATCCTTGCAAGACTGTATGTTTTATTAGAAAATAATCCATGCATCCATCACATACATGATCTAGATTCGGTTTTGTTAGAAAATAATCCATGCAAGACTGTATGTTTTATTACACGTTGGATTTAACCAGTCAGTACAATAGGTATACACACGTGACTAAAATATGGGAATTCGAGGAAATGCATAATCAGAAAAGGAAAGAAGATATCGACGACCACTTGGTCCAATGAGATGAGACACTAGATTCTTTGAGCAAGGTCGGTGATTCGAATCCTAACGTTTGCATACGGAGCAAACTAGGTTGGAAGGATTGTCTCGCGACCCCAATGCAGTATTTGGAGTCAAATTCTTTGGTTGCTTCATCAATGATAGGGACTACAGATGTTAAGCTTAACATACCTTCAAAAGTTGAGGGAATAAAACCGAAGAGCTTATTGTGAGAGAGGGTCAGCTTTTGTAAAGATTTCAATTTCCCAACTTGCTTCCTATAGAAACAAGAATTTCACCATGAAGATAAGAGGGGAGTAATTCCATATGTAGCCTTCAGGATGTATAACTGCTGGAGTCGAGCAGTCGGCTTAATGTTGTTGTGTGAAACAGCCCCAGTGAAAGCAGATTACGAACCGATAGCTCCTGAGAAACTTGCTGCATTCTCGGTCGAGATTGAGACTGGCATGTAAGCATTGTGATGCTACTTTCACAATAGAGACCACTTCCGCTGCTGTTTGTCTCCTCGGAGATGGAAGCCGCTGGTCTAACAGATCTTTAACTAGTAAACCGCCGAAGGATGATGATGATGAGCTTGATGGAGAGAGTGAAGAGAACGATGACGAAATGAAAGATATATCAGATCTCCAGGATGCCTTCCCATAAGAATTTCCAATGTCACAGCTCCAAAGCTGAACACATCGCATTTGTCATTGACTTGCATGGTATACGCAAGCTCTACAAAAGAATAGGCATGCTTAGTACACGTTTATGACTTCAAATTGTGTTCAACAATTTGCTTCATCTAAATTCAGAACAATTACAGGCTTACAGCATAAAAGATGCAAAGAATGAGAAAAACATACCTGGAGCAGATTAACCAAAAGTGCCTTCAAAAGGGGTCCAATTGGATGAGTC